TAGAACTAAGCTTAATATAATTAGACATTTAAAAATGTATAGACTTGCTATTCAGAAATACTGTGATCTCTCCATGTGATACAGCCTAACTCAGCACCGTGGCCTCATTCAGATGGGCCGAGCATGCAACACGATCCAATTACTGCAAATATTTTAGGTTTTTATTGCTACTGAGAACACACTCCCTAATCTCCGGCTCATTTCCCGACTGGTCACTGCCGTAACTAGAAAGGGCCTATTGATTTTTGTATATGTAGCTATTGCAAAATTTATAAGCACAAAACAAAAATAACCAAAAAAAAAAAAAAAAAAAAAGCAGTCATTTCTCTGTTAATTAACTGAATTTGGCTTTTCAGAAGCCATTTCTGCTAGGGAAAAAAAATCATTCTTGTAACGAGTGGAACTCAATGAATAGTGAGTTCACAAGTCTCTCTTCAGGACCCATCTCCTCATCTTCTGACATAGCCACCTGGGAGAAGGAGGCAGATATTCAAAGTGCAGTGCTTGCTGGGTGTCTGAGCGTTTTGGGAGCTAGCTGAGGAGTGCACGGGCCACAACAAGCAACAAGAGTGGTTTGTTCTGGCCTGAGCCCTACCGTAGGGGAATCAGCCCACAGCTCACCCTTGCTGGTTCCGTGGGCTTTAGGTCCTTTCTTCCCTCAGGGATCTCGTCCTGGTTTCTGGGTCCCTGCCTATGTCCATCCACAATGGGTCCGTAACTCCAAAGGGATTGTCAGATTCGAGTCCAGTCCCCCTCTTTCTTCTCTTTATACATTCTTTCCTTTAGACCTGAGTGTTTTTGTGTTCTAGACAAGGCTTCTCTGTGTATCCCTGGCTGTCCTTGAACATCCTCTCTAGACCAGGCTGGCCTTGAACTCACAGAGATCTACCTGCCTCTGACTTGTGTGTGCTGGGATTAAAGGCATGAGCCATCACTGCCTGGCCTAGACCTGGCATTTTAATATCTAGAGGGAAATCTGTGACCTAAGGTAAAATCTGGTTGAGAGCTGGAAAGAACCTACAAAGAATGGTAAGAATTAAAGATACTTTAGGCTTGTATTTAATCAATGTTACCTCACTGCATACATTTATCTTGTCTCCTACGGGAGAACTAAAGTGTATACGAAAGCCCCCACCCCATTTTCAGCAATGACCTACATGCTGCTTTGCATGTACCTGTGCAAAGGCTGGTGCCTGAGGCCAAGTGTTGTTCATTATATTCCCTTTTTACTTTATTCTCTGACATGGGATCTCGCACTTGTCTGGAGCTCACCAAGCACCTGGCTGGTCCGTGACCCCTGGGATCTTCCAGCCTCTGCCTGGTCCAGCACTGGCACTAGGAATGAGTACAACTACTCCAGGCTTTATTATGTGGGCTCTGGGACTGGTCTCAGTTCTTCAGCTGTGGCTGCCAACTGAGACGTTTACCCAGGCAATATTACTCTGTCAATGAAGCAGAGCTGGGGTTAGGAAATACTTCTGACCTGTGTGGCGTGCTCAGCCACAAACAGGGCATCTCTATCACACTCCCCTTCCTTAAGGCTCAGGACAACTGCAGGAGAGGAGAGGGGGCAGAAAGATTTTTCGATCCAGAGGTCAGAGGACCAGAGTGAAAGTGTCCTCTGACCATGACATTCCTCAACTCACAGCAGCTGTGATTCCTACAGTCAGGTCTAAAGGAAAGAATGTGTGAAGAGAAGAGAGAGAGGTCCTGGTGAACAAACATTACAGCATGGAGCAGCAAAGGGGCTCATAAGGCCCAACCCCTGGCTGAGGAGCTCTTGACAGCTTCTGAGAGATGCTTTTCTTTAAGGGTGTGGTCCCTGGTGGGTCAGCCCACACCCATAAATAGTACATGGGCAGCACAGACTGGACTTGGTGAGAGTCTAAATATAAATATACCTGTGTATGTGTGCATTTGTCACAATAAAGAGGACAAAAAGGGAGAGAATGAAGGGAGGTGAGGGTGGGTCTGGGAGAAGTAAGCAAAGAACAGTACGGTGAATATGGTCAAAATACAGTGTGTATAAATTAAAGAGTACTGTATAGTTTTAAAAAGACAAATACTTTTAATATAGACTCAAGATTGGACGTTAAAGAGAGGCTTAAGGACTGGACTGTATACAATGGAGTGGCATGGATTTCTCAGTAGTTGCTCACACTTGGTAATCTTCAGTTTTTGTGTTTGTTCCTTGCTCTAATATATTTGAGAGCAGTCTTGATGGCTAACTGGCTGAAGTTTTTCTCATTAAATTATCTGCAACATACTGATTTGAGACTTTAAAAATGATGCAGCATGCAATGGTTTCAGTCTGCTTATGCAGATAAAAATATGTTTCTCTCAGTTCTGAAGAGTGAGAAGCCCAAAACCAAGGTGCTGCCAGGCTTTGCTGTCTGGTGAGTTAGGTCTCAGCTTCCAAGATGGCGCCCTGAACAACCCACCTGAAGGCGCACACTTGTAGGATGCACAGAGAAGAAATGGCTCTGCCTTTCAAACCCTTTAAAACCGTAATGCTCCCTGTCCAACATGGAGAGCCACATTACTAGACCCTGGGCCAGAGTCACCCAGCTGTGCCCGACACACGTATATTATATAACACTATGAACGTCTGCTGTTTTACAGTACTCAATACTTTGCTAAGCCACCTGTGATAGCTCGGAGCTCAACAGTGCTTCAAAGTTGTCCTGAACTGAGGGAAAGGAGCAGCCTTCACATCCTGCGTCCAACCAGACAGAGGTTGCCTTTGAAAAAGATGCGTGGTCTTGGGAAAAGCTGAGTTCAGTTAAAGGCAGGCTTTGAAGAATGAGTCACTTGAGATCTGTTGACACTGTATCACCAGCAGTTGAGGGCTGTCCTTCGGTCCTCACAGAGGGACCAAGGGGGAGAACCCAGCTAAAAAGACCCAACGGGACTGTTGCTGTAGTCCCAGAATGGCCAGAGCGAACTGGACTCTGGTGTAATGGTTAACATTGTAAACCTGCTGGATTCTACAGTTACCGTGGAGAGGAATCTCTGGGCAAGTCTGTAAGGGCTTTTCTAGACTAGCCAAGATGAGAAGGTGGGCGACACAATGCAAGGCCGCGGGGGGACGGGGGGGGGCGCTCTGAAATGCGTAGAGCAGCGCCTGTGGGCAGAGTCTGCTTCATTATGCTAGCTTATTCTTGTGTCTCAGGAGACAAGGGCAAACAGGCATGGCAGTGCAGAGCGGGCACAAGACAGACCCCTGTTTGTGTTAATTCTAGAAAGTTTTAAATTTTTTTTCTTTATTTCTTCCCCGATCCAGAGGTCATTGAATAGTGAGTTTTTCAGTTTCCATGTGTTAATAGGTGTTCTGTTGTTGCTGAGTTCCAGCTTTAACCCATGGTGCTTTTATAAAATACAAGGAGCTATTTCAATCTTCTTGTATGTGTTGAGGTTTGCCTTGTGACCGAGTATATGGTCAGTTTTGGAGAAGATTCTGTGAGGCGCTGAGAAGAAGGTATATTCTTTTGTGTTTGGGTGAATTTGTTCTGTAGATACATTAGGTCCATTTGATTCATGATGTCTGTTAGTTTCACTATTTCTCTGTTATTTCTTCATTAACTCTCCCACTATTAACACATGGGTTAATTTTTAAATGTTAATTTTTAAATAAACCTGGTGTGTGTGAACATGCCTGCGCACTCACAAGCAGGGTGCACACGTGGAGTCCTGGACAACTTGTGGCTCTCTTCCACAGAGGGTGGAGCCACCATGGTGGCAAGTGCCTGTAGTCACGGCATTATCTCTCCGGCTCAAGAGAAGCCCATGAAGATACGCTGTCTTTAACCTTAACCGTCTCGTGGGTGCACTGCGGGGAGCTGATGGTAGGGTGATGGACAGACAAGCCGGAGACTGATCTCCCACGCAACAGTCTAGACAGGAGGCCCCACCAGCCTTTCCCAGGCTGTGATTCTAAGTCCCAAATAACTTTAGCTTCGCTAGGAAAGTCTTGAAGACACCCGGCAGAGTCCTAAAGGTGGAGAGAGAGGCTGAACATGGAGCCCTGACCACTGAGAAACATCTTATTTTAACCTTCAGAAGCAACTGCAGCCGCCGGACACCACTCTCAGGCCACACCACGCCTCAAGAGCGCGGCTCTCGACATTCACATGACCACCTTAAGACCAATCTGTTGTCCTAAAGTGATAAAAGGACAGGAGAGACGGCTCAGCGGCTAAAAGCACCCGCTGCTCTTCCAGAGGTCCTGAGTTCAATTCCCGACACCTACACGGTGGCTCACAACCCTCTGTACCGAGTTCCAGTGCCCGCTTGCGTACGTGTGGGCCAAACGCTCACACGCGTAAAACAAATCTGCAAAAATTTTCTCATTGTTAGAAAATCGGAATCAAGGCATTTGAGCAAACAGCATTTCTTCTCCACATGGTTTTGGGTAACATCAAGGTTTGACGTGCCGACGGGAGGACAGTTCACGAGACGGCACCACACGGTAACTCGGAGGCCAGCACGCTGCGGCGTCCGCTGCGGCAGGCTGCCGGAAGCGGGCGAGCACGCGGGTCCGGGCGCTCGGAATCCGGCGCCGCCGCTCGCGCAGCCGCCGCGGGGCCCCGCGGGCCACGGAGCACTTCCAGGACACGCGCCTGGGGACACCCACAAGCCCCTGCGGCCGCGGGGCGCGACGGCTCGTGACGCTTCGCCGCAAGCAGCGGCGGACCCCGGCCACCCGCGCTTCCGCAGACCTGGGCCCGGCGCCGCCGGCGGGGCCCGGGGGCGTCACCGCAGCCTCTGCCAATCAGCGCCCGGCGGGTCGCCGCGGGGCCACGCCCCTGCGTCTGGCCCCGCCTTCCCTGCGAGGCCCAGGAAGCAGACACCCGTGTCAGGAGGGGGCACGGTCGGGATCACTTCCGGAAACCCACCTCCACGGCGCAGCCCTGCGCGCCGCACAGCCCGACGGGAGGAAACCTGGCCTCCGCCGCGAGGCACGCCGGGAGAGCCGCGGGCTCCCCTCCAGCTTTCCGGAAGTGTGTGTGTGGGTTCCGTGCCCTGGTCTGTGCTAAGTCCCGCCCCTGTGCCGGAGGAGGACGTTGCGAGGAGGGGGCGCGACCGCCGGTCACGTGGCGGCACTGCGGAAGAAGCGGGAGGGCGGGCGGCCGGGTCCCGAGTGGCCGGAAGTGGTGGCCCCTGCCGCTCATCCGAGATGGGAACGTCTCTGGACATCAAGATTAAAAGAGCGAATAAAGTGTATCACGCCGGGGTAAGTGGAGGGGCGCCGGGCTTCAGGCTCCGCGCTCTCCAGTGCGGCGTGCGCGGCCCGGACGCCGGACGGGCGTGCCCCGCGGGGGGCTGGGGACGCGGCGGCAGGCGGGCGGCGGGGCCCAGGCTGGGGCTGTCGCTCCCGGGGCGGAGAGCAGGTGACAGATTGCCTTTCTGCAGAAGACCCTGAGACCCCAGGCAGTGGTCGCGCCCAATGCAGACTTCTCCTCTGAAGCCCGCCACGGCGTCACGATCCACGACCCTGGAGAGGTTTAGGATGCCACCGCCCTGGTTCTAGCCCGCGAGACAGGCTTTGTCACGTGCAGCTGCTCTGGACTCACGGCTAGCTTCTGCACGCCGCTCGGTGCACACAGGTGCTCTGGTGTGGAGAAGGGACACATCCCAGGGGAACATCTTGACCCCTGGTGTTTGTGAAGATCCAGTGAGCCACCCCTCTTCCCTTCGCACAACGGAAGGGAAACGCTGCATTTGTAATATATCTAGCGGTCACCTTCCAAAGACCCCTCACCCCAAACCAAACACCCAACACCAAGTGGCCATCACCCTTATAAAAGGGGCTCTGTGCTCTATGGCAAGATGCACTGAAAGAGGACCCACTTAGGCTTAGACCTCTGCCCAAACAATCAGTTCATAAAGGAAACAGTCGACCCTGCCTCTGTTTGAGGAACACTGTCAAACCAATTCCATAATCTTTCTTTTCAAGATAGGGTTTCTCTGTGCAGCCTTGGCTGTCCTGGACTCACTTTGTAGACCAGGCTGGCCTCGAACTCCCAGAGATCCACCTGCCACTGCCTCCCCAAGTGCTCGGATCAGTTTCATGGAAAACAAAACAAAAGCCAGCAACAAGCCTTGGGTTCAGTCCCCAGCAGTGCATAAAGCAGACATGGTTGCCTGCAGGCCTTCCCTCCGGGAGTTAAGGAAATTCGGGGTCACCCTCAGCTGCACATTGAGTTTGCTACACGCCCTGGATCTGGAAGATCCTATCTCAGGAAAGCTAAGGGCTGGGAAGAGGGATGGGCAGTTAAATCCGGTACTGCTCTTGAGGTTGGGTTCACAGGCCCCAGGTCAGGCCGCTCGCAAACCTGGACCGCCACATCCAGGGAGCCCCACGTCTCTGATTGCACCTGCACTTGCGTGCACACATCCACTCAGACACAGTGTGTAACATAATTTGAAATAGTTCTGAACAGTAAGGCAGGAAAACTGTTCAAGATGAAAAGGCACTGCAGGGGAGGACCAAATGCACAACTTTTGTCCGACAGTCCTGTGTGTCGGTACCGAATTTTCCGGGCGTATCTTAGTGACTAGGGAGACCCTTCCATGTGCTGAACATAGCCACAGTAGCCTCAGAAGGTTTGGCCGTAAAATGGAGGTGTGCCTGTGTGTGCAGAACAAAAGTAAACGTAGCAAAAATTTTAACAGTTCTGATCCAGTTGAAAGCCATCTGGCTCTATTTTTTTCTCAGTTAATAGCTTTGAGGAGAAATAATTTACACACACACACATATTAGAGACGTAATATGGCTACAGCAACAATTAGCCCTTTGTGCCATCTAAGTGGTTTTGGTGTATTTATAGTGTTATTCATCTATCGCTGCTAATTTTAGAACATTTTTGTCAACTCCAAAAGAAACCCTGTGTTTGATAGCTGTCACTCCTCCTTTCCTGCCGGAAGCCCCAGGCAATCACACATGAGCCATGGGCTCTGCCTCTCAGAGGCATTTCACAGGAAAGGACTCCTATAATGTGTGACCTTCTGTGACTGGCTTCTTTGACAGAGCATGTTTTCAGCGCCCATGGACATTAGCGCATGTGTGGCTGGCTTGTTTCTTTTTGTGGCTGTGCCACTGGGCCACATGCTGTCCTTTGCTGGGGGACAGGTGAAGTGAAAGATGAACAAGTGCTGGGGCAGGGGGAAGTGGGAAACTAACTTCCTCTAGGAAGGTCCATCCCAGCTCAGGGATCAGGAGGGCTGTGAAATGATGGGACAGTCTCCTGTTCACAGTGGAAAGGCTTTAGTTTGCTGACTTTGTTATCTTCCGGAAGCATCTTTTCTGGGGCTTATTTTAAAAACCTTTGTGGCTTGTCTGTTTAGCCTAGTAAGTTTCAGCCTCCCTTTTAAAATTCAGATAGCCCCACTAAATTTTATTTTAGTTGTAGCAAGTTTGGGGATCTTTTTAGAGTGATTTACTCCAAAGCAAACACCTTGTCAATCACCCAGGTCCTGCTGGAAAGGCCAGGGAACCAGGAGAGGAGTCAGGTAACGATGACAAGGGGTTCTGTGCCTTGGGTGGGTGACTTGTCACCTACCCCCCAAACCTCAGAACTCCGCGTGTTTTCTCTCACGTGGTGTTGATGTAACGTCTTCTTAAAAATAAAGAGGAAAAACGTTATACACAGTAGCTCACTGTTCATGAGGAAAAGTTGCGAAACAGAAATGCTACTTAAAAATGAAACCCAGGGCAGGAGAGGTGGCTCAGAGACTCAGAGCACTGGCTGCTCGTGCAGAGGATATTGGTTTGATTCCCAGCATCTACGTGGTGGCTCACAGCCAGATCACAATCACAGTTCCATGGGATCCTATGCCTTATTCTCACCTCTAATGACACCAGGCACTCACGTGGTGCACAGGCGTGCACAGGCAAAGCACTCATATCATATAATGAAAAGAAATAAAAATCTTTAAAAAGAAAGAAAGGAAGAAAGCCTGGCTGTGCTGCATCATGTGGTTGTTTGAATGAGAATGTCCCCATAGGGTCATGTATTTGAATGCTTGATACCTAGTTGGTGGAACTGTTTGGGACAGATTAGGAGGTGTGTCACTGTTGGAGGAAATGTGTCATTGGGCTTTGAGGTTTCAGAAACCCACACTGGGTCTAGTCTGCTTGCTTTGGGTTTGTGGATTAGGGTGTAAGTAAGTTCCTGGCTACTGCTCTAGCACCGTGCTGGCCTGCTGCTTGGACTTTGTCCTCTGCTGAGCCACTGGTTGCCCTTCCATCTTCATCCTGTTTCATGATGCTCACTAGGCCCTCTGTGTGGCTGAAGCGTGCATTCTCCACCCAGCTGTGGCTGCTGCAGTCTGCAGGGCTTCGTGTCCAGCTGTGTGCAGAGCCAGCCCCGTGTGGCAGCTGCTCCCTGTGTTAGTTACTTCCTGCATTACTGAGATGAAATATCTCGACATCAGCGTGAGGAAACAGTGTTGGTTTCTGGCTCCCAGTCCTTTGTGGGGAGTTCATGGTGACCGTGCTTGGGGCGGCTGGTCACGTAGCATTCAGTCAGGAAGCTGAGAGGTGTCAGTGCTCATCCCTTCCCTCAGTGTATTCACTCCATTTAGGGCGGGTCCCATGACAAGCCTGCGGGGGCTGGTTGATAATACTGTTCATCACCACAGCCCCTCCCGTGCTGTTTTCCCCTTTGCTGACCCCCCACCTCAGTGCCCCATCAGTGCCCAGGCTGAGGCTTCTGTCCTTGGCTTCCACTGCAGCAAGGCAGACTGCTCTGTGGGCAGTGCCAGGGCCAGCTCAGGGGAAGTCATAAAGAGGAGTGGAAGGCATGCATTTCATGGTTGGGGGCAGGTATGACTAGCTGAGTGTCTGGAGGACAGTCTTCTGTGATACCCTCCCTCAGAGTCCCATCTCTGCATGGTTAGCCGCTGACCTCTTAGCAAGGTGGGTCACTGAGATGACCAGGGTGAAGCTGCTCTTCTGTTTGCTCTCCATCATCATTTCAGGATCTGTTGAGTTTGCAACCCCCCCATCCCTCCACCCTCACCCCCCCCTCATATTTAACCTCCCCCAGCTCTTGGGCGGTAGTAACACAAGCACTTTGTTCTATTGTAATTCCTTCTCCAACCCCAGGCTCTACTCTAGGCTTCCACTTGGAGTCAGGGAGGAGAGTCGCCTTGTTTTCCATTCCACTCTTACATACCAAACTACTCAGCTCTAACATATAAGCAGAGTACCTACAGACTCCCTGGTCTCTGCCATGTAAGTTCCCATGAGCCCCAGTTAGCTGATTGTGTGAACCGTGTTCTTGAGGTGTGCCCTGACCCCTCCGGTTCCTCGACCCGTCCACAGGCCTCCCTGAGCTCCACCTCATGTTTGGTTGTGGGACTCTGCATCTGTTCAGTGAGTTGTGGGTGAAGCCTGTCTTTGATGATGACTCTGCCAGGCTCCGGTCCCAGCACCCCTTACCAGGAGTCTTTGCTAGGGTTACTCACAACTTCTGGGGAGTTTCTCCTGCACTAGGCTTCCCCTTTGTCCCCCAAAGGCCAATTCCAGTAGTTTCTCCCAGTATTTTCTCCTTCCCTCCTCCCCTACCTGATCCCTCCTGTTCCCAGCCCCTCTCCCCTGCCCCAGTCCACCTGTGAAATTTATTCTGATTCCCCTTCCCAGCCCTCAAGACCTTAAGCCCTCCTTGCCTCTTAGCATCTCTGGGTCTGTGGGCTGTAGCATGATTGTCTTTTATTGAATTTATAAAGGCACACACCTTTAATCCCAGCACTCAGGAGGCAGAGGCAGGTGCATCTCTGTGAGTTCAAGGCCAGCCTGGTCTATAAAGCGAGTTCAGAACACCCAGGGCTGTGTTACACAGAGAGACCCTGTCTCAAAAAAATAATAACTGAGTACATACCATATTTGTCTTTCTGGGTCCAGGTTACCTCACTCAGAATGACTTTTTCTAGTTCCATCCATTTACCGGCAAATTTCATGAAGTCCTTGTTTTTAGCAGCTGATTAATATTCCATTGTGTAAATGTACCACATTTTCTTTATCCTTTCTTCATTTGAGGGATCTCAAGGTTGTTCAGTTCCTGGCTATTATGAATAAAGCCGCTATGAACATAGTTGAGCAGAAGAGAAGAGAAAGTGGGAAATAACCTTGAACTCAAGGGCTCTGGCTTGTTTAATTAATTAGTGAAGTACACAAACATCTTTTGTTCATCTCACTTCTGGAGTATGTTAGTCAAATTTGAAAAAAAAGATGCTAGTGACTTAATTTTTTTTTTTTTCTTTTCTGTTGGTTTTTCAACACAGGGTTTCTCTATGTAGCCTGGCTGTCCTGGAACTCACTTTGTAAACTAGGCTGGCCTCAAACTCAGAGATTCGCCTGCCTCTGCTTGCGGAATGCTGGGATTAAAGGTCTGTGTCACCATTGCCTGAAGATCAGAAATTATTTTAAAAATATGTTTAGAAGCTAAATTATAAGAGACATGTTTTTGTAAATATGCTGTGGCATTTTTATTTTCTAAGAACATAAAACTGTCGCGATATCTTAGTGGTCTATTGCTGTGAAGAGACACCGTGACCATGGCAGCTCTTACAAAGGAAGCATTTACCTGGGGCTGGCTCACAGTTCAGAGGTTCAGTCCGTTGTCATCATGGCTGGAAGCATGGCCGCATGCAGGCAGACGTGGTGCTAGAGGAGCTGAGAGGTTACATCTTGATCCACAGGCAGCAGAAGGGAGCTGTGAGCCACACTGGGCCTAGTTTACGCACAGGGGAGGCCCCAAGGCCCGCCCCCACGGTGACACACTTTCTCCAGGAGGGCCACACCCCCTAATATTGCCAGTCCCTGTGGCCAAGCATTCACACAGGTGACTCGAGGGCTGTGCCTAGTCAAACCACTGCAGCCAGGATTTTGCTGAGAATGAGGAAGGTACTGATTATTCAAAGTGTGACTGGGTACGTGGAGGCCAGAGGACAACTTGTGGAAGTCAGTTCTCACCTCGTGGTCCCAGATCTCCGGTCAGGCTGTTGGCTTGACAGCGGGTGTCTTTAGCCAGGGCCCCAACCTGCTGGCCTTGTTTGTTTTCATTTAGATGTCAGGGCTCTGGAGCGGAGAGTGGAAATCAAGTACTTAGCACAATTCACAGATGCAGGGTACACCCTGCCCTGAGGTCCCCCAGAGCACGCTAAACTGCCCTGCTGGAAAACAGGACAGTAAGTGGGTGGGCGGCTGTGGATATGGGCTGATCTTCTGGGTCTGGCTGTCTGAGTGTGGTCAGCGGCTCTGTGCCACCGTGGCACCGTCTGCAGAGTCTTGGAACCCTCAGGTGGGGCCTGACAAGCCAGGACTGAGGGTGTACGTGGAGGAGCCCTGGGAGGGCCTAACACAGCATCTTCAGGGTGGTATGGGCGTTAAGCACCTCCTCAGACTTGCTCAAACTGCACAAGCAGGAGTGGTCCTGGGAGGTGTGCTGGTCTGATTGGAGGCTCTCTTGTCCCCCAGGAAATGCTCTCGGGTCTGGTGGTCATCTCCAGCAAGGACTCTGTCCAGCACCAGGGCGTGTCTTTGACCATGGAAGGGACTGTGAACCTCCAGCTCAGTGCCAAAAGTGTGGGTGTCTTTGAAGCCTTTTACAACTCTGTGAAGGTAAGAGCCCTGTTCCCCCTTGTTACCTTGCGAGGCTCATGGTCCTCAGGCTTGCAGTTCTCACGGAGCGTGCTCGTGTGCCGCTTCTGTGCCCTGCCAGCAGGTATTTGCTCGAGTAATGTCCCTGGCTGGAGCTTGGGATTGGAGAAGCCTGCACGGACTTAGTCCTCGGAGACAGCTTCTCCGAGGAAGGCCTGTCCCTTGCTTTGCTCTATCAGACTGTCTTGCTGGCTGTGTACACGGCTCGTGTTGAACTTCACGTTGAAGTAAGACGCACTGGAGCATGGAACTCTTGTATGTTCTTGTTAGTTAGGGTAGAGTTTCTGTTCTAGAAAGTTCTCCAAACTTAGAGCTTCTTTCCATGAAGGCCCTGTGATCTCTGAGGAAGCCTGTGAGGAGAGTGTGAACAGTGCCCTGGGCTTTTGCTTCTCCTCTAATCCACTGGGAACTTTGCTGAGGCGACGGTGAAGCAGCGGGTGTGGTGGTGCAGGCCTGTAGTCCTAGCACTTGGGGGCTGCGGGGCCAGGAGAGCCAGGAGCAGCGCTGTGCAGTCTGGGCTACACAGCAGACTGTTTCAGCGACACACACGTCACACACCAGGTCGCGCACACACACAGATCCATACACACCACATCACACACCACACATATACACACACACCACATCACACCACATCACACCACATCACACCACATCACACACACACACACACCACATCACACACCACATCACACACACACATATACACACCACATCACACACCACATCACACACACACACACACCACATCACACACACACAGACACACCACATCACACACCACATCACACACACATCACACACCACATCACACACACACAGACACACACACCACATCACACACACACACACACACACACCACATCACACACGCACATATACACACACATACACACAGATCCATACACACCGTGCCACACACTTACATACCACACGCACAATTAGATGCCGTGGAAACACAGTTAAAGAGGAGCGTCGCTGTGCAGCACCGGCACGTGGGCAGACCTGCACGGTGCTGCAGACACAGCGTTAGGCACCTCGGTGTGCCAGGGCCTGTAGACCTGGGAGAGGACGGGCGGGCGTGCCGGCGGCTGACTGCTCCTGTTGACAGCCCATCCAGATCCTCAGCAGCACCATTGACGTGCTGAAGCCGGGGAAGCTCCCCAGTGGCAAGACGGAGATCCCCTTCGAGTTTCCTCTGCATGCCAAGGGCGGCCGGGTGCTGTACGAAACCTACCACGGCATGTTTGTCAACATCCAGGTGAGTCTGTGCCCAGGACCGCATGACTCCGGCTGACAGGACTGACTGCTCGTGCGGTCTGGACCTGTGTCTCCCTTGTTGGTAACTACGTTTTGGGTGTGACTGTTACTGTGTTTGCAGTGTAAGAGAGTCGGCCCAGGACTCATGCTGCCATAGAGTTAGGCCCTGAGTCCTGCGGCCCTCCAGCTAAGGAGAAGCCTTAGAGTTCCTGTGTGTGACTGCACTTTTCCCAGGCCACAGTGACGCTGTTGGGGACACAGATCTGCTGCAGCCTCCTGGCACCAGCACTGACTTGTCTGTTTTGCTCTTCTGAGTGTCTCTTTGTGTCACCCAGAGGCTGCCCTTCAACACAGGCTGCATTCTTCACTAGCAGACCTTGTAAATGAGGGAAGTGCAGTTGTGACTTCCTGTGTGCCTCTGCTGGGGAGGGTGGCCACCCAGCTGCCATTGTTCCAGGGGCAGGGCCCCGTCCTGACCCAGCCAGAGGAAGAGCCCTTCCTCCATGCGGTTCGGAGAAAGGTGCTCTGTGAGGCCGGTGCAGCAACTGCCGTGCTAAGCAAGACAACCCTGCCACCTCAGCATGCACCAGAAGGGAGGAGACCGGAAAGGTGCTTGATTTACTAGTCAAGTTTCAGTTGTTCACATTTGCACTTAGTAAATACCACTCATTTGCTTAACATTGAGCACGTTTAAAAAGCTGAAAGCATTTGGAAAAGTTAACTAGAGGTTTCTATGAGTTTCATGAGTTTGAAGGTCTGTCAAGGGGAACCGCGTGGGATGGTGCACTCCACGGCAAAGCTACTTTCTATGAAGAAAATGTTTGTAGTCTTTCCTCACACGCCTGTTCCAAGCAGTAATACACACACACACGAAAAGAAAGTGGTACTGGAAAGAGAGTTCCGCAGTCAGGACTGGGTGCTGCTCTTGAAAAGACCCAAGCTTGGCTCCTGGCACCCACATGGGGCTGCCCCAGGTCTGTGGGCATCTGCTCTCATGGGTGGCCCGAGGACATACACACAACCTAAAAGCTGAGTGCAGGGCTGGCACATGGCTCCTTGGGTAAGGGTGCCATCATGCCTGAGCTCCATCTGTGAGCCTCTGGGGGGAGGAGGAAGAACCAGCTCCTGACTGGATAAGATCAACATTTTCTGGTCAGTCTCTTTCATCTGTTGTCACCTAAGAGACAAAACCAATCTGTTTATAATGAAATTGGAAGGCTTTTTCAAATGCCGCTAAGAGTACAAAAGCAGAGTGTGTGCCGTGGTTGTGTAGACCGCGTGTGCTGGAGATGCAGTGTGTGTGTGCTGTGGTTGTGTAGACTGTGTGTGCAGGCCTTCCTTGATGCAGAGGCTGCTAGTGTATAGCTCTTCTCTGTAGAGTGAGGGATGCGCTCCCCAGCTCTTTCCTCGCTCGACAGATTACCCCCTTGAAGGCCAATCCCTTTAAAGATGCCATTTCTTGTTAGTGGGCTGTCCCCACTCAGCGCTGGTTAACCTCTTCCCCTGCGGTGCTGGCTGCTCGCCTGTTAGGGACGCACCCCATCACTGAGCTCATTTGCAGCCTGCGTCCCTCGTCCTCTGTGTTTCTATTCTGAGCCATTTTAAAGGTAGCAGCAGTCGGTGTGCCCTTGGCGTCTTCCTGCTTAGGAGCCATTGCCTAAATCCGAGACTTGTCATCCACAACCTCAGTTACCATCATTATCCACACAATGCAATCCTCAGACAGTTTCTAGCTTATATGCAAACCTATCATGCTCTCGTGAGCAAATCCAGCAAATAGGAGTTAGGGTCATGGCGTTTGCTCCGTTCCACCCGTCCGTTTTATTTGACAGGTCTTCTGGTTGCCTCCATTGTCAGGAAGCAGATGCCGTCCAGAGAGGACAGGGATGTCTGGGCACATGGCTCAGCAGTGTAGGGGTTCCCAGGGACCATTTAGGGCACATTTCTTGCCATGCCTCTGAAAATTACATTAATGTACATAGGCACATTACTCTGAATAAAAGCTTTGTCGTTCAGTCCCGTACTGTCTCAAATCATACAGATACGAGGAACTTTGTCATTTATGATTTGAGTTGTGTTATAATAGCATAATGTAAAAAAAAAAAAACATGAGACAAAATAAAGGGTTTAACATGGAACTGCATTAAATTTCTGACTTGTCAAGGCTTAGCTTGCTTGCTATTTCTTACTGAGTTCTGCTCTGTGGCCATACTAACAAGATTTTATGTTATTGCACAGATGAGTAACGGTACCACTGCGCCTGCTAGGAGCACATATCAGAGTTTATTTATAAAAACTCTAGTCTCCCTTTTTACAGGTCAAAATACTGTGTGTGTGAGAGGGAGAGAGAGGTGATTCTGCAGTTAAAAGCACTAACTGCTTCTGCAGAGAACCAGGGCTCAGCCCCTTTGCACTCACAGGGCAGCTCTCAGCCGTCTATACCCTAGCTTCAAAGGAGCCGTGCCTCTGTCCTTCATGAGCATGCCCCCCTCATCCACACAGACACGTGTCCACACAGACACATACCCACATACACATGTCCACACAGAAACACATGATTTTAAACCTTGAAGAAATCCAGCCTCAGACTTGCTGGTCTTCTGATGCCCTCTGACCTTCCCTATAGCTCATCCAGTGGATCCCACCATAGGCCCTGGAAAGCTGGTTACCAAACAGTGGGCAGAGCCGGGCTTTGGTGACAGTCCTGCCAGCACCCTGTGCAAGGGTTTGGTTTGGTTTGGTTTGGCTTGGCAGCAGGCAGGTGTCAGTGGAAAGCCCACCTCTGTGAAGGCCCACAGCAGCCTGCCTGACCTTGTTGCTAGGAGATAAGGAAAGAATGCCATACAGAGCTGGGTACAGGCCTGCCCCTCAGATCGTCCTCGAGGATGAACACGAGTGGATGATAGTCCTTCCAGTAGCCTGTGTAGCCCTGACTGTCTCAGACCTCACCATGTAGACCAGGCCGGCCTAAACTCACAGAGATCACATCTGCCTCCCAAGTGATGGGTGGGTTAAAGGCGTGCACCGGTAACAACTCTTTATGAAGTGTTTGTTTCACATGTGGGTGTTTGCTGTGAGTGTGCGTGCGTGCGTGCGCGCGTGCCCCGTGTGCATGCATTGCCCGTGGAGTCCAGAAGAGGGGGTCGGGGTCCCCCAGCTGGAGTGGGCAGTGGGGGTCAAACCCAGGCGCTCTCCAACACAACGCTGAGCCATCCTGCAGCCCCATTGTAAACCCACATATCTGTGACCCTTCCAGAGCATAACAGAGGACTAGGCCTCTTCACTTCACCTTGCTGCCCTCCTCAACAGAGCACATGACCGCTAATTTGCAAGTTCCTGCCTGCCCTCACACTTTGGTGAATTCCTTCCTTTCACAAATTAGGGTGAACTCAGATTGACAAGGACCTGTGTCATGGAACCAGAAATTCCAGGGGAGCAGCTTGGCCACACTGGAGACCACGTTCCCAGCACAGTTGAGTTTCTTGTGTCCTGGCTTTGCACTCTGGAAGCCAGCTCCCTTGTCAGAGCAAAGCTGGCCACTGTGGGCAGGTGCACCTTCCGTCCTTGGCCCCAGCCTCAGTCAGAGAGTATGCTTTCCTCGCGTGCCCTAAGTAGGTCCGGCTCTGCCTACACCTCCCAACCATTGAAAGAGGTGCTAGAGGCCAGACTCCGACGAGGCACGCCCAAGAGGGTGGTTCACTTCCGTGCGAGTGATGTCCAGGAGGCGGGGCACTCGCGCACACTCTCACAGCAGTTCTCACTGACTTTGGTGTGAGGAGAACGGATGGCAGTCTCACTAGAGAATGTATTGCGCATACACCTATATAAATGTTAGGGTTCGTGCCGACCAGTGATTCTTACAAAAATGCTTAGTTGCCTGTCGTACGCAGATGTACAGGAACTTATTTCATGTGGGAAGGTGGCTCTTAGAAGTGTGGCTTCTTACAAGATTCGTAGCTGTGCACACAGTCCTGGGTATGACAGTTCTTTCTGACACAATTCAGAAGTTTTCTGTGTGACTGAAGCAGCAGGGAAGTTGGTTCAGCAGGAGTTCCGTGAGGTCCGGGCTCTCTATGGCACGTGCTGACTACAGTCCAGCCCCAGGTTTAGTCCCTAGCATCCTCAGCTCACGGACAGGGACTGGAGGCCACAGTCCTGCGCCACACCCCGAGAAGCTTAGCGCTGCACTAGAGGGCCGGGCTCCACAGCAGGAGGGCCAGCCACGGCAGCCAGCCCAGAAAGTGAGCAAGTGAGTGCAAGGCTAGTGTGTCCTGCCCCTCGCCTCTGCCCTTTAGGTGGCACGAGGCTCTTTCCGGTGGACAGAGGGGCCGGGAGAACGGCGGAAGGAGGCTGCTCTGAGCTGCCGGACGTGGACACGTGACACTTAGCTACTCTCAGCCCTTACTTCTGTGGGTCTCTGAATTTCTAAATTTTGAAAACGCCTGCTCCGTTTCTTCTCTAAATCACACAGAAATCGCTTTTAGGCTTCCCTGAAGTCCTGTCTGTCTGTTTTCTGACCCATGGTTTCTTGTCTGTGTGACTGCACGTGGCTGTGCGCGCCGTGCTAGCACACAGCGTGCCAGGGCACGGAGTGAGGGCTGTGAGTTGCCTGAGGCTGCCTCTGGGGTGTCACTGTGGAGCTCAGCATCCTGTCCCAGGACAGCAGGGAGGTGCAGCTCGGAGGAGGAGGAGGTGGTTGAGTGCGTCGGCCCTTCGGCCCCAGCACTGCTTCCTGTCCTTACCCCCACACCCTGGCTGTGGCAGCAGCTGCATGGATGTTGTCTAGAAATGCCCGGATTTTGCGCATTTAATTCCTGTTGTATATATCTTGTATGAAACACATCCACTGGCCAAAGCGTCCTTAAAGTACATCGACTGCGTGTCACTCTGGATGTTGTGTCCAGATCAGAACAACTCCCTGAGATGCCATTTGTCTCTGCTTCTCCCACAGTACACGCTGCGCTGCGACATGCGGCGGTCCCTGCTGGCCAAGGACCTGAGCAGGACCTGTGAATTCATCGTTCATTCTGCTGTAAGGCTTGCCTCGGGGCCTGGGCTCTCGGGAGGTGTGGGATCTCGCCTGCTCCCAAGGCAGTGAGTGAGGTGTGGCAGGAGACACGGGGCACCTGCTAAGACCCTGGGCGACAGGAACACGTCGCTGTTTCTACAGCAGTGACGCCTCCTGACAGGTCACAGCTCAGCACCCCACACTACAGCGGCAGTCAGCGTAGTGTCCTCTCTGCAAAGGAGACGCCACCGTGGCCCTCAAGGTTGCCGTGGCAGACACTTCCTAGAGGAGTGACTCGTGCTGGGCACCCAGGCCCTGTGCAAACATACACTTCTGCATAGTTTAAAGTGCCTTTTCCGTGCCAGCTTGGATACTTGGTCCCTTGCCACTGCTGCAGCCACTTGGGGAGTCCTCCACGATCACACGGAATCTGCAGTGACAGCACCTTCCCCTTGGTGTGACATGTGGTGACAGACACTTCCCCAGCACTCTCCGAGCGCAGTGGTGTGCTCGCAGAGGCAGACACACGCTGGCCTCGGACTCCGGTCAGCAGCCCTCAGCCCTGGCCAGGGGCCCGTCTGTCTCTTCCCGTCCTGCTGTCCCCCGCAGACTGCGCGCCTCAGGGGTTCCAGAGCCGAGTGAGAGCGCTGACAGGGCCGTGGGGAGCCCTGGGCTGGGGGCTGGGGGGCTACAGCTGGCTTGTTGAGCAGTGTCAGCCAGAGCCACCTCAGGCTCTCGCTCTGAGGCCTTCAGGGAGCTGGAAAGGCTGCTGCCTAGCCTCTGGGAAGCTCGGAGGAGCGGGGCTGCAGTGCAGGCCCATGCTTGCCTGGGAGCAGCCTGACCATGCTACTCAGCATACCACCGCCATCGGTGCTGGGCTGAGCCCGCCAGAACCCAGCCTTGCGCTGTGCGCCTCAGAGAGCAGGGACTTCAGCAGGGCACCCTGTGAGGGTGGTTGGCAGTTGGGAGAATCTGTGCTTGCATTTCTGTGTGACACTGTAACATGACGCCCTTGAGATGATTAGGACCAGTGCAGGACTAGGGTCCTGTGTGGTGAGCAAACAGTCCTCCAGGCCCTTATTTGCATTCGTTTTTCTAGGTAAGGTTCTTAGGGCTCCCAGCACTTGCTATCCTACTTATTTTTCTAAGTTTATGGAAAATATGACTACATTGTTTCATTCAGATTACTGAAAGACAGCTATTTTCTTTTTCCATCAAGGGTCCTTAATTCTCCTTTAAAATGTTTGGGCGTTATTTACTAAAACAGGCTTCAGCCTGTACAAGGAAACTATGATTCTCGAGGAACACTGGGTCCTAACTCAGTGCGAGCTCAGAGCCTCCCTGAAGCTCTCCCAGACTGCAGAGCCCTCCTTCGAGGGATCAGGCCCAGAGCTGTGACCTTTCTCTAGGGCTCTTGTCTCTGTTCATGATAATCTGTCACCATTGGTCCTTCAAGTATTAGGTGTGAACTAGGCGTGGCCACTCACGTTTGTAGTTCTAGTGGTTTGCAAGTTGGGTGTTCTTCTGGCCTGTTCAGCCAGTGTGTTCAGAGGAGGAGTCCGTGCAGCAGCCTGGGGACTGACGGCACCCGGCACCCTCTCCGCCTGCTTCTTGGGTCTTGCTGGCCTTTTGGATCCCAGCCTCAGGTGCGGTGCCAGGCAGTCTTTGTGCAGGCAGTGTTGGTGTGAATGGGTTCTGGAATGCTCCTTCTCTGTAGACAGCTCTGTAGCGGATGACAGACAGCCCTGGCCAGTCTGGCTCAGCCCTGCGACATAGTGAGAAAGTCTGTGAGCTCCACGTACCTGGCTGTCCTTGGGTGTGAGGGGCAGCAGCCCTCGGTGCTGTCATGCCTGTCAGCATAGAAGCTTCGTGGCAGCTCCTCCCTCCCGGCACATGAGCTGTCCCCGGGTCTAACCTCCACAGGCCGAGCCCTTGCCTTACAGCTGAGGAAGCCTGGCTGTGTGCATGGACACATCTGAAAGCACCATGCTGTTTAGGGGTACACCTGGCTTGCTTGGAGTCAGATCTGCTGCTTCTCAGTGCCAAGTCTTTGCGCTTAGTGCTCCATTTGTTTCAGTCGGTTTTCCCTCTGTTTCAGCCTCAGAAGGGGAAGCTGACGCCAAGTCCTGTTGACTTCACGATCACCCCGGAAACCTTGCAGAACGTCAAAGAGGTACTGACTCCTTCCTCACGTGTGTGTGTTATGACCCAGCCACTGACTTCCGCCCAGTTGTTTAGTTGAAAATTGAGGTGTGAGTGACAGGCTTCTGATGGTGTTTGTCCCCAAGAGGTGTTTTCAGTTTGACATCATGTTGAGTTCAGTGGTTACTTAGAAAGAAAAGAGTGTTTTCAGAAGCCCTCGTTTCATGAAGGGATGCTGTCTCGCCATTCTATCCAGGTTGGCCCTCTCCAGCCGTCAGCTTACACTGAGGTGTGCCCCCGTGCACCTGGCTGGTGGGTTTGTACCCACATGTGGCCTGAGCGCCATTGCTCCTGCCCCCATGCCTACGCCTTTGTTTCCCACAGTAGTCGTGGGCCCCCGGGGCCCTGTCCCCTCCCTGTCCCCGAGGCTTAGCTTGCAGTCTCCTTGGCACTCCATCCACACAGCAGTTTGTGGGGATGGGTGGCAAGGACACGGGCCAGGGCAGTGCTGCAGCTTCTTGCATGGAAATGAGGGTGCTTGGATCTTCGTGGCAGCCCCAGGGCCTTTGCTGGGCGCTGCCCAGGCAGGTTGTACTTTGGCCTAGCCCACCACGGTGGCCGCCCTCCTGGCTTAGCACTCCCCACAGCAGGACACTTCAGCAGGTGCTGATTTAGTGAATGAGTCTGTCTAAGCAGGCAGCACTGTCTGCAGCTCATCTCTGCGTAGACCTTGGCTTCTTTACTCCAGTCTGCATTTTGCTCATGCTCATAACTGCATTGATGGCATGTCTGGGAGATTTGGGGCACTGGAGTCATGGCTGATGTCATTCTTTGAAAGGGTGGATCACAGGGACCCCTTTCAGAAGGGCTGGAAGGAAGTGGCTGTTATGTCCAGGGCCAGGCAGACTCCCATGTCCCATGCCCTCTGCCCTGTGAAGCATTTTCTTCACATGCATGCCTCCAAGTTCTTCTGCACACACAGCTCCCATGCCCCTGCCTCACGTGCTCCTCCTCCTCACAGGGCTGCATGTGTGGGGCCGAGTCCTCTTCCCTTGCATTCATGTTATTCAAATATTGGCTCTTGCTGTATACTTGAGGATCCTTGGTCTAGACTTATTAGTAAGATCTGCCACCAGCCCCGGTGACACTGTTCTTCTGAATGCAAGCGCACATTGAATTTTGTCATACAGGGAGTGGCAGGTGTGTGCAAGTGGCCTTTCTTCTGGCCCTAGAGCTGTTCTAGGTGAACAGTGTTTGTCATGATAGAAACCTTTACATTGGGGAACACAAGTGTCAGGAAGTGGACACTGGAAGCCGCTTTTTCATCAGCTGCATGAGGGCTGTGAGCCACTGCTGCTAGTTACTTCCCTGAACAAACAGCTCATTCTTGTGTTTGTTCCTCACACTGTCCCGAGGCAGTTTAGAGCCTTCACTGGTGTTTGACACTTGGTCCAGTCCCATGTGAGCCCTGACTCGGGGCGTGACTAAGACTAGAAGCTGAGAGTGCAGGCCTGGCTTCAGAGACAATGTAAAGCACTGTTTACACGTTTTTCTTTTGAGACAGTTTCATTATCCCAGATCGGTGTTGACTATTTAGTTGAGAATGACTTTGAATGTCTTGAGTGGTGGGGTGGCTGAGAGGTGAGCGCTGCTGATCTTCTTTCTCATGTTGAGATAACACCTTAGATACAACACAACGGGGCAGTTTTTAGTGCACTCTCAGGGATTTTAAATCACACGGGCAGGCAATTACAAATGCTAAATGATTTTAAATTTGTGGCTTATGCTGGGTCTGCTGGATGGCAGGACATGACAGAGAAGACTCCTAAAATGACTGTCCAGCTATTTTCCTTCAGTGCCACTGCCAGGGCCCTTCAGCCAGCTCCCCGTGTGCAGAGAGGGGCCCGGGGCCTTTCATCAGGCCATGAGAGAAACTGCTTTTTCACTATCTTTGAATTAAAATTAATTGGCTTCTCAAACGTGCCTAATTGGGAACACTTTAAAACTGACTACCTTTTTCTTTTTTAGTAAGTCTTTTTTTCCTTTTTCCTTTGTGACCTGGGGTTGAGGAGTTGGTTGTCCTTAGACAACCCTTGTCCACTCTCAGGCTTTTTACAGTTTATGTCTTGTTGCTTGGTGAAGGAATCTTGTCAGTCAGGGTCGGCGGGGTTGGTTGGGAGCACATAGTCGCGTCTCCCTGGCTCCTGTGTGTGTGGCTCGCTTGAGCAGTTGAGCTGATGTCCACTGAAAGATGAGATCTCCAGTATCCGTCCAGTTTTCTAAAGCGGCCTGCGCGTTAACCGAACAATTGCCTCCTCGAAGCAAAGCAGCAGGAATAGCTACTGCCTCCTTGTCCTTGTGCTCCTGATGCCATTGTCTCTTTCTCTATAGAGGGCCTCACTTCCCAAATTCTTCATTAGAGGCCATCTGAACTCCACTAACTGCGCTATCACGCAGCCCCTGATGGGAGAGCTGGTGGTGGAGCATTCGGAAGCTGCTGTCCAGAGCGTGGAGCTTCAGCTGGTCCGGGTGGAGACCTGTGGTAAGCCTGTGGAGGCCGGGGTGTCTGTGCCATCACCTCAGCAGTCTCTGCTCGTTTGTGTTCATTTTTCTGGAGCGGCTGATAGGTTCATGCCTAAGCTCCACTCCCAAAGATTCTTTCTGGGCAAAGGGGAACCTGGGGATCCGGGAACCGTGCTTTAAGAGTGCTCCCCTCAGGAGGACCCCCTCATCATTGGACTGGGGGAGGGGCATAGGAGAAGAGGAAGGAGGGATGGTGGGATTGGGAGGGGATGGGGGCGCTACATCTGGGGTACAAAGTGAATAAACTGTAATTAATTAAAAAAAAAAAAGAGCGTTCCCCTCGATCCCTAGACCTGTATGAAAACCAGTGCCGTACAAAAGGCCATCCATCATTACAAACACGGCAGCCTTGCTTTGCTGTGTGGACGACCGTGTTCCTCTTTGCAGGCTGCTGGGAAGTTTGTTTGATAGATTTGGACCAGAAAGGCACATCTTTTGCTTTTAATGTGCTCTCCAAAGGTGCACATCGGAAACTTGGCCCCTACTCCAGCTCTGCGGAGAGTGAGAGCTTTGGGGGTGACCAGGTCCTGAGCACTGTGCTCAGAACGGGCCATGTGGGGGTTCTCAGGAGAGCCCATTATAACACGGAGCTTTCTCGGGCTGGCTGGCATGTGTTACTGTGCTAGGGCCTCTGCTGTGTTGCGGTGCAGGGCCCGGCCATCAGACACTGAATGGATATCTATCCCTGCGCTTGCCTTTTGAGCCTCCAGAACCGAAGAAACTGAATAGTTTCTATTCCTAAAGAAGATGGCGGATGCCGTCAGCACGTCTGTTAATGCAGTAAATGCACATCTGGTTTTTGTTGCTATAACAAAATCTGAGACTAGGTGATTTCTAAATAGTAGAGGTTGATTTTGCTAATGGTGCAGAGGCAGAAAAGCTCAAGAATGTGGTACTCCATTTGGCAGGGGCCGCCTTGTAGGTTTTGTTTTTAAATTTATTATTTATGTGTATGTATGTCTGTGATATATGTGTTGGGGTACCTGTGAGGCCAGAAGGGAGTATAGCATCCCTTGGAACTGGAGTTAAGAGGCACTTGTGATGTGCCTGATGTAGGTGCAGGGAACAGAACTTGGGTCCCTGTGTAAGAGCTGGAGGTGCTGTCAGCTACTAAGCCATCCCTTCCTGGGGTCTTTGGGTTTGGGTTTTTCAAGACAGGGTTTCTCTGTGTAGCCCTGGCTGTCCTGGACTCACTTCATAGACCAGGCTGGCCTTGAACTCACAGAGATCCGCCTGCCTCTGCCTCCCAGAGTGCTGAGATTACAGGAGTGTGGCACCGTGCCCGGCTCTTCTTGTAGTCTTAACATATGAAGATATCACCTCACAACAGAGCAGTTGTGCCAGAGACCTCATCTCTGTAGCACAGCTATTCTGATGACCCCGTGGCCACTTGCAGATTGTCACTGAAGTACCGACTCGGGCATTAGGTTCCCAGCCTCTGAAGTCTTGGGCGGTGATGTCTGAGGACATGAAAAGGGGAAGGGACGGGAACTCCAGTCTTGGAGGACAAACTGGAGAAGGGGTGAATGTGCGCTGCTGCTGGCACATTATTGGAAGGGTGTGTTGACCAGTTTATTTTGGTGTCATGGCGCGCTGACCCCATGCTGTTTCCTCTTTGCCCAGGGTGTGCCGAGGGCTATGCGCGCGATGCCACAGAGATACAGAACATTCAGATTGCTGATGGGGACATCTGTAGGGGCCTCTCCGTCCCCCTGCACATGGTCTTCCCCAGGCTGTTCACCTGCCCGACGCTGGAGACCACCAACTTCAAAGTGGGTAAGCAGCCTCACGCCTGGCCTGTGGGGCCTGGGCAGAGGGTGTGTCACAGGGAGAAGCTCCGCGCACACAGGCCTGCAGGAGTCACAGCCTGGGAGCACGCAGAACGCCTCCACGAGAAGTGGCATGTGCAGGCAGTGGAGCCCACTGAGAGTCCCTTCAGAGGGCTGCGTGGCCAAGCAGGGCCACCCTGGCTCTGTAGAGCCTTTCAGTTGTCAGGTAGCAGATCGTGAGCAAACACCTGACAGGAAACACCCTGCCGGAGGGTGGTGCACCAAGGGCCACAGTCGCGGTGGGAAGCCGTGAGAGCAGGCGCGCTTGCTCACGGCAGGCGGGCCAGCCAGCAGAGACCAGTGCCGCTGTCTGCATTTGTTTTCCTTTGACTCAGGTGAGGACCCGGTCCCATGGGTGGTGCCACCCACTTTCAAGGCAGGTCTTCCTCCTTAAACACCTCTAGAAATTCCCTTGAAGATACGCCCAGAGGTGTGTCTCTCGAGAGTGCAAATCTAGTTAATGTAAGAGTGAGATTAACCCCAAGTCCACACCCGAACAGCTTGTTGGCATCTTACAGTAGCATCTGTGACCTTAAAGTCTAACACTGCTCTAAAGACCAGTTTCTTCTGCGACTCAGCTGTGACGGCATAGCATGCTTTCAGCAGACACACAGAAAAAGCACTCCCTTTCAGAAAGGAGCAGCAGCAGGCCCAGAGCAAAGAAGAATCAAACCGAAGCAATATTAAAACCTAGTTGTTGTTATTTTAGTTTAGTTTTTGGTTTTTTGAGACAGGGTTTCTTCTCTGTGTAACCCTGGCTATCCTGGCTATCATTTTGTAGACCAGACTGGCCTGGAACTCATAGAGACTCACCTGCCTGTGCCTCCGAGTGCTGGGATTACAGGCGCGTGCCACCATGCCCAGCTACTATTTTTAATTATATGTTTATGGGTCCTGTGTACCCACAGCCTACCCAGAGCTGAGGTTCTGCAGTGTGGTGCCAGGTGCCACTTTGCCCATACAGCAAAAATAACGACGAGTTTGTTCGGGGTGCTTTCTCTAAACATACATCCCCTGTTTTAGTTTTCTGTTTCCCATGAAAACTAAAAACCAGTGGAGGAAATCCTGTACAATAATGTAAGAACCAAGTATTTCAACAAAGGTCTCCTTAGCTGATACCAAAGGAACAGCACTTGAACCAGCTGTATGTTCCTTTCCTTCGTTAAATAACAGCCGCCAGGGTCTTGTTTTGTAGCTTGGACAGCCTGGAACTGACCATGTAGCTCAGGCTGGCCTCAGGCGCCTTGGCTGCCTCCTGCCTCGGTTTCTCAGGTGGCGGGATGATAGGTGTGTGCTGCCCTGCCTGGCTGAAGCCATAGCTGTTTCTAAAGAATTGTCTGCGATTTGATCCTCTCTGGCCTCTGCCAGCACTAGGTACACACCTGGTTTACATGCAGGACGTGGGCAGAGCGCTCACATACGTGATGGGAGATTGAAAAAGAAGGAGCGTGCCTGGCCGGGACATTGAAGGCATGCTTCTCGACCGCTGCAGCACAGTTTAGAGCCTAGTGCTCCATGTGGGCTGGGCTGGCCTCGAACTCACAGAGATGCCCTGCCTCTGCCTCCAGGGCTGGGATCACAGGCGTGCGCCACCGCCACCCAGTTCTAGTTCGGTATTGTGGGGTGATTGTGGGTACCCCTCCTGACCCAGTGCCCGGCTGACAAGACAGATGAGACGTTGATAGTGAGTCATCAGCAGGCCCTCCGGGTCCTCAGAGCGCGCAGAGTCCTAGTGGCCCCTGCACGCTGCCTCACTGTTAGCCTCTGGCTCCCTGCCCAGGTGAGTGAGCGCCTCTCTTTTCCCCGCAGAGTTTGAGGTAAATGTGGTGGTCCTTCTTCATGGTGACCACCTCATCACAGAGAACTTCCCGCTGAAGCTCTGCCGGACATAGCCCAGCTGCAGGAAGGGCACAGCAGGAGTGGCCAGTCATCTGCTCACACGTGGACATCGCTCAGGCCATCTGCTCACAAGTGGGTCACAAGGGTCATCTCAGGCACCATGTCTGGCAGCATGCATTTTCATGATTTTTCTCGTGGCCTCAAAGCGTCTGTTTCTTGAAGGGGCCTTGTCCTCTGGAATGCAGCAGGATTTCCTCGTGTGTCTCCAGAGCACAGAAAACATTTCCAACGGCTCCAGATGTCCCCACTCCGTAGGGTCAGTAAAGCAGTGCGCCTGCAGGTTGAGATTTGCTGGCTCGTGAGGCCGTGGAGACAGAAGGGCAGCGGTCCCAGGCGTGCCCCCTCCTGACAGCCAGGGTCGGCCACAAGCAAGCTCACTGATGGAGTCTGTGACACACTCCAGGGAATGGCCGTGGCCTCACCTGGATCTATGGAGCGTTTCCTTCCTGAGTTCTTGAGACCGTTTCACTAGAACTTTAACATTGTTTAGGAGACTGGAGAAAAACCCAGCAATACTTGTTATCACAGGAATGAGAGCCCCTGTGAAGGCGGCCGGTGCTAGAGCGTTGGCAGCGTGTGGCACGGCACCCACGCCCAATGCTGCCTATTCCCAGAGCGCATTAAAAGGCAAAATGGTTGCAACGGTGGAAGAATCCATGTGGCTTTCTGTGTGGGTCCTAGTGACAGGAGACTGCGCTGAGGAAGAATGATAGGCGTGGCCTGCCCCTGACCGCGGAGGCACTGTGCCTTGAGCCAGGGGTTCTGGTGAGGCCTGTTTGTCCTCAGCCCCACGCTGTAACGCACTGTGTGGGGAGTACTCGCAGGGCTTTCCTTCCCTCCCTTCTTGTGCTGTCTGTTGGCCCATGGTTGCTGAGCCCTCTGGGCACACTAGCTGGCTGCCTGTGAGGTTCTTGGGGTCAGGCTGAGTGGCTGACAGCCTCCTGCTGCACCCCACGCCCTGTAAGAGCTGAGGGGAGCCGGGCCCTGCTTCACGTGGGCTTCCCCAGGGAAATGGGAGACTTAGTGGGTCACCTGACAGTGGGTTCCCGCCGAATGGATTTTTGATTGTCAGTTTCTATGCTTACATCGTAATACTTACCTATCCTTGGTGTATTTAAACAAGCCAAAAATGTAGGCCGTGCTCTGGTCAGTTTGCAAGAAAAAGTCATTTTTAATGACATAGTTTTTTAATGAATAAAGAAAGCTAAACAATCTTTAAAAATTGTTTGGACTGCATAATGTTGTGTAATTTCAGTAAACTTTAGAAAGACGGTGAGCATGGGTCGGAGTTACTAGCTGACGGCTGCCAGATGCCCAGCCACCTCTGTGATTATGCTCAGTCAGGACCAGGCTAGCTCCCGGCCTCACACTGCCCTTTTCCTCCACATTTTGACCTGGGTCACCATCCAGTCATTTGGCAAGCCTGACGTGTCTGACTGGGACAGCAGCCCGACGGTCGGAGGTAAGGGTGCAGGACTCGGGTGTAAGTCCTCCAGTTAGAGGCGAGTGGGAGGGCTGGGGAGGAAGAGAGGTGAACCTAGAACACCAGGTGACTGCAGATAGCTGTCTGGCTGGGCTGCACGGCTGCAGAGCAGAGCAAATGGAGTCGAACAGCCGTCGACTCGAGGAGCACTCTCAGCCACCCTCTGAGCTGAGGCAGGGCAGGGGGACCCGCTCGGCCGTTGCAGTGCACCTCAGCATTTCTGCTGACCCTCTGAGGGAAGTGGGGGTGCCTCCACATTGCCACTGTTAGTGTTGAGTTGGGCTCCAGAGCCCAGTCCACTTGGCACTCGGGAGGCGTGTCATGATAGCCTCTCCCTGCCCTGTGTGGCCCTGGCTATGCGATGCTGTTTTAAAGAAAGAAGCTTTCCCAGTGAAGACTTGGGAGCCAGAAGCTGGGCGCAAGGCTGCTCGCTCAGGGAGGCAGGGGACGCACAGCTGACCTTCCTCCTCAGCGCAGGTCCCAGAGGGAACACCCTTCTCTCAGTGCCCCTGCTTTCTGTTGCTGTTTGCAGCCGGCTGTTTGCAGCCGGCTGCCTGCTAACCCTCTTGACCTAGGGTTAACTTCAGATTAGGTGTGTGGTAGGGCTGAGCCACTCTGCAAGTGCTGGTTTACAGTCAACAGAAGGCTCTTGGCTCCAGGTGAGCCTTAGGGCTCAGCCACACCAAACAGGAAACCAGGTTTTGAGTTGACAGTCTTGGGGTTCACAGTGGGATCAAGTATCCTGCCAGGGTGCACCCTGGGCTGTGGCACTGTGGTGCTGGTCCTTAAAGGCCTGGTCTCAGCCTTCTGTGCCTCAGGCATGCTGCTAGTCACGTGGTGTGTGCCAACTCTGCGCGTGAGGCTGAGGGGAAGGGCTGCAAGCGTCACGGTTGCCATCGGTCACTAGGTGGTAAGAGCTAAGGAGTCTAAGCCAAGAGTCTTCATGAAGACAAGAAACCAAGGTCCTCATCTGCAGCTGGGTCAGCTTAGGGGTGAAGTGAGCGACTGGATCAGTCGCACACTGGTCCTGACGTCCTTTGGGTACAGTGAAAATACCAGGGCACAGTAGACCCTCTGGGAACACCAGCTTGAGTTGCGGCAGCTTCCTGGGGAGTTTCGGTGTTCCTCCTCCACACCTGTGCAAGAAGCAGCACTGTGCCCAGCTGCTGCTGAGTCCGGGACTGCCCCAGCCGAGAGTTCGTGTTCGTGGCCATTGCTGCAGGCCGCGTAGCTGTGCCCATGGCGACGAGTTGAGGGTGCCACGAATGGCTGAAGCGGCTCTGTGGAATTGCCAGTTCCTTTCAGAAGACACAGTAAGTTTTTATGCAAAACAATCTGTTCATGGTAGGTTTTATCCAAGTTCGCTCCTTTTGGGATTCTGAGTAAAGATGGAAATGACCAGGCAGAAGGGTAATCCCTGAAAACCCTTTTAAAGCAGGGCCTTTCCCATCCCAATGGGCTGTGCTCCCCAGCTGCCTGTCGCGCTCGCCATGGGAGAATGGGGCCTGATGGCCTGACAGGCAGAGGTGAGAAAGTCTCCCAGGGCAGGATGGTCTTGTGGCCAGTGGAGCAACGCTGGTGGTGGCGGTCCCACCAGATGCAGTGGGTGACAGCATGGGCCTGCAGAGCTGGAGGAGAGCAGGACTGAGCTCGGGAGGGCTCCAGCGCTGTGACCTCCCTGAGTGTCAGCATTGCCATGCCAGGACACAGCACCTCCCTCCGCAGGATTCCGGAGGGTGTTCATTCATGTAACATGAAAACAGAGAGAGAGGAAACAGAGTCCACGGCAGAGGCTGTGAGTGCCCAGCAGTGAAGACAGTTTGTGCATGTGTTCGGGATCTTCTCTGACCTGGGCGAGCACCTGCTTGACCAGGGACAAGGGTCTGGGTAACTGAGTGGCCAGGGTTGCCTGCGACCTGCATCAGCTGTCATTTCTCAAAGCTGCTGTTGGCTTCCCTTAGCACCCTGCTGAGTTGCAGGCTAAAGGTGAAGGCCTCCAGAGAAAGCAGCTACAGAGGGGGACTAGACTTTGCTGCTACTGAATTCTACCAGACCCTTTTAAAGAACTGATACCAACGTTCCTCAAATTATTCCGTAAAACAGAGAGGGAGGGAATGATCCCAAACTAACCTACAAAGCCAGTGCTAGATTGCTGCCAAGGCTGGATGAGGACACAACAGCAGCAAACTAAACCCAGTCCCTGATGAACACGGACACCAAAATTCTCAATGAAATGCATGCAGCATAAACTCAGCAACATGTTAGAAAGAGGATACGGCGTGACCAGGTTGGCTTCATTCTAGTACCACAAGGATAGCTCAATACACATACATCTATACATGTACAATATGGAAAACAGTCTCAAGGACACCAGGCCTGGTGTCCCTCGCCCATCATCCCAACACTACTGGTGCCAACGGAAGAGTGCCCCAAGTTTGAGGCCAGTCTGGGTACACAGTACTTTGTCTCTCACTAAAAAGCCTTGTATTAGTTAAGGTACTCAGAAACAGAACTGGTAGAGTGAATGAAAACACACATTTGGAGTGGTTTACAGGCTGTGGTCTGGGTAGTCCAGCAGTAGCTGTTTCCTGACAGAAAGGACAAGAAGCCAGTACTTCAGTCTGTGAGACTAAAAGCCTCAGCAGTCCCAGATCGTTGAGCGCTGGACAGGCCAGCAGAGCTGCTAGCCTTTAGTCTGTGTGGGGTCCTGAACAGGGAGGCTCTAATACCCTGGAAGGAGTGTCCCATCAGCATGGGGGAAGAACACGCAGGCGAGAGTGAGGGCTAACAGGCAAAAAGCAGAACCGTCTTTCTTCCATGCCCTTTTATGTGTGCTGCCGGACTTGGGGTGCGTCTTCCTACCTCTAACGATGGAATCCAGAAAGTCCCTTATAGGCTGCCCAGATGCTTGGCTTTCAGTTGCTTCCTGATAAGGTTAATAACCAAGACTAGACCCCATAACTTTGGACAGACAGTTCACAGGTTATCTTGATACAGAAAAAGCCTTTAAAGGATGGTTCGTTATCCATCCTTGCTAAAAGTTCTGCAGAAGCGAGGCTTAGAAGGAGCTTCTCAGTGTTGGAAGACTGTTTCACAGTGAAAGGCATAGTATGGTACATGGAGTATACTGAAGTAGGGAAGATCAAAACCATTTCCTCCAAAGCCAGGAGCTTCCTCCAAAGCCAGGAGCTTCACGGCACAGTGCTTGGTCCATCCATTCCTGCTTGCAGCCGGCATGACAGCTGTAAATACCCAGGTCCACCGGGATACTCCGCCATCAGGCGAATACTGTGCCATCATCGGGCGAATACTGTGCCATCATCGGGCGAATACTGTGCCATCAGGCGAATACTGTGCCATCATCGGGCGAATACTCCGCCATCAGGTGAATACTGTGCCATCATCAGGCGAATATTCCGCCATCATCAGGCGAATACTCCGCCATCAGGCGAATACTGCACGAAAGCAGTATGCAAGGCACCAGGCAGCATCAGTACATGAGCATGCTGGGAGAGGAAGCAGGGAAACCCGCTCAGAAAATACAACAGCTAGGAATAAACCTAACCAAGGACGCTGAAAGACCTCTACAAAGAAAACCTTTACAGTACAGAGCAATAAATTCAAGAAGATAACAGATCCAGAACAGCTTTTCTGCTCCTGGCCTGGCAGAATTAATACTGTGAAAATGGCCTTCTCGCCAAGGTGACCTCAGAATCAACGCAGACCCCTCAAAATCCAATGGTGTCTTTCACAGAAGAAAAAATGACCCTGAAACTGATTCAGAAGCACAAAAGACCCTGAATAGACCACACAATCCTTGAGTAAAAGCACCACAGCACCTCATTTCAATCAGCGCCGTAGTGACAGGACCAGTGTGGCAGTGGCAGCAAGGCAGTCACGTCCTCAGTGGAGAGCAAAAGATGGTCAAGAACGAACCAAGTGGAGACAGCCACTGACGCCTTAAACAAAGCACATAACGGCGAAGGGAGAAGCCCACAGCCAGGGCCCAGAACAGCGGGTCCACGTGGAGGAGAGGGGACCAAGCGCTTCCTTCAGGTCTGCACAAAACGAACCACACCTGGAGACAGGAGAAGTGCCAGCATCTTTGAAAACCGCTGGAGAGGGGCTGGTTTGACCTGGATCTGCTTCCCAGTGCCCACAT